ATATTGATTTTTTAAAAAGAATTTTGAATGTAAAAAAGAGTACTCCATCTTTTATAGTTTACTCAGAGTTAGGTCGCTTGCCTTTACATATTATCAGAAAATGTCGTATAATCAAATACTGGCTAAAACTTATTAAATGCGATAATTGTGTTCTTAAATCAATTTATGAAGAAATGAATGAATGTTATCAAAGAAAATGTAATTGGCGTTGTCAAGTTAAAAATCTGTTATTCTCTTCCGGTTTTGGAAATATATGGTTAACACATTATGTTGATAATGAAAGTTATTTTTGCAGTCTTAAGCAGCGCTTGACTGATAATTTTATTCAGGCAAGGAATGAATTTGTTGACCAGTCATCAAAATGTTACCTGTATAAGTTTCTGATCGACAGTTTTACATTGCAATTTTATTGGACAAAGTCTATCCCTGCTGTGTATCTTAAACTCATCTCTAAATTACGGCTCTCATCGCACCAGTTATCCGTAGAAGAGGGACGGTATCGTAATATTCCGAGGGCAAATCGGCTTTGCCGTCATTGTGATCAAAATCAGGTAGAGGACGAATTCCATTTTGTATTGGTCTGTTCACAGTATGTAGATAATCGCAAAAAATTTATAAAGAAGTATTACTGGAACCGTCCATCGTCTTATAAGTTAATTCAATTGCTTTCTGCAAAAAATAGAAAAGTGCTGTGTAATTTAGGAAAGTTTTTGCAATTAAGTTTTTTTAGCTAGGTCTAGATTCTACCATTAAATTACTACTGTTTCTGTCTCTAGGTTTATATGCGTTATATTTACTGTTGTCGTCTATCTCCTGACTACACCACTTTGTAACTGTTATAATAAGCTTTATGCCCAAACTTATGTAACGCTCAGATAATGCAACTTTGTCTTCTGTCGTCCGACTTCTGTTTGTTAGATCTATTATATTAATATATTGTATTCTCAGCATCCCATCTTCCATTAATTTGTATATCTTGTACATCAATATTAATTAACTGTATTGAAACTAAATGCGTATATGCTGTACAAGAATGTTATATATGTACTCTGTATACTTATGAGCCGTAAGGCTTAAAGTGAATAAACAATACCATACAATGTGAGTGACCTGTATTTTTACCTGTGGTTCTCACCTGTACATGTATAAAAAAACTCAGCCAAAAAAGGGGAATAAAATAAAGTAATTAAAGACATAACATAATAAAAAAAATATATGGTGACATAATGTACATGTAATTATTGTGCCGTGTATGGTGACATAATGTACATGTAATTATTGTGCCGTGTATGGTGACATAATGTACATGTAATTATTGTGCCGTGTATGGTGACATAATGTACATGTAATTATTGTGCCGTGTATGGTGACATAATGTACATGTAATTATTGTGCCGTGTATGGTGACATAATGTACATGTAATTATTGTGCCGTGTATGGTGGCATAATGTACATGTAATTATTGTGCCGTGTATGGTGACATAATGTACATGTAATTATTGTGCCGTGTATGGTGGCATAATGTACATGTAATTATTGTGCCGTGTATGGTGACATAATGTACATGTAATTATTGTGCCGTGTATGGTGACATAATGTACATGTAATTATTGTGCCGTGTATGGTGACATATTGTACATGTAATTATTGTGCCGTGTATGGTGACATAATGTACATGTAATTATTGTGCCGTGTATGGTGACATAATGTACATGTAATTATTGTGCCGTGTATGGTGACATAATGTACATGTAATTATTGTGCCGTGTATGGTGACATAATGTACATGTAATTATTGTGCCGTGTATGGTGACATAATGTACATGTAATTATTGTGCCGTGTATGGTGACATAATGTACATGTAATTATTATGCAATTTTTAAAGATGTAATATTATTTTTGTTGTACATTCCAAAATGATATAAACTATTGTGATATCATTTCCACAGAAGTGTGATGCCATTTAGTGCACGGGTAAACGCCACATTTTTATCACTATGACGGATGTGAGAATGAGCTGTGAGCTCTATTGTGGGTCGTTTCAAAACCATTTTGGCAAAAACTGTAGAGCGCATGCGTTTCCATCAACAGGTCTAAGGTTAGACGCTCGACCGTAGAATCAATAAATAAAAATAATTGCGTTGTCTTTTCATCAATATTGTTCTTCAATATTTATTGTCAGCTTGGATTTTAAAAAAAACGTGATTATGCTTGAAATGTTGATTTTCCAACCGTTTTTGCTGATTCGTGTTCTGAAGGACGATACATACCTCGCGGACATCATAATAGGGGCAGAGTCCCATTAAATTTTACCACAGAGACATTCTGTTTAGGAGTCCCGGTGAACGTTCAAACAGTTGCCTCTTAAAAGCAGAGATAACTTGAGTATCAGTTTTCAGAACACGAGAAAAAGTTCTTTCTCGACACCCTTACTTCAAACAAATGTTTCTTTCTCTCAGATTTAAGATAAGGACAGGTAAATATTGATGTTATGAAATAAGTGAAAAACAAGCTTTCCTGCCATGTCATCACAACAGAGACACTCAGAATAGATTGTAGATGCACCGGAGACATGGTGAGGGCCGCTAAAGGTGGGTGATAGTATCTTGTCAGAAATTTGTACCTTAAATCTGGGTAAACGTGATTATTCAAAATTGCTGTAAATGTATCGTGAAGATAGTGTAGTAAAACAAGTATGAAGGACTCTCTATAACGTGTAATTAACGTGTTGCGGGTCCAGACGTAGAACAAGGATATAGGACGGGTGTATCTTTTCCCTCTTCATCAGCTGAGAAGTGTTGCGGGAAGGGAGTAGAGTAAGCTTTCTCTGCGTTATGTAAATAGTGTGTTGTACAAAGCGAGATAGAGCAGGGATGTAGAACAGGTGTAACTTTCCACTCCTTAGTGGACAAAAAGCTTGTTGTAGGTAGCGGAGTAAAACAAGACTGGAGAAAGGATGTCACTTTTCGTTTAATACCTGGGTATCAGCATATTCCAGCGAACGAATAAGAACAAGGATTTTGATGAATGAAACTTTTCTTGCAATTCTTAGAAAATGGCATTTTGTAGGGAGCTGGGTAGTTAAAGGATTTATAACAGATAGAGCTGATCTATGCACATCGGCAAGTAGTGTGTTGTTGGGACGTACCTTTTCTCTCTTCTGGGGAATTTAGCTTTTTCATGGAGCGGGTGGAACACGGATGTATGGCGAATGTAACTTTCCTCTCTATACCGGTTAAATAGTGCGTTGTAGGAGTGTTGTATGTGGCCGTTTTGGTGTGAATATTTACAGTCTGTGTGTGGATGGTATTATTTAATTTGGTGGCACCTAGTATTACAGACATTTACGTCACTTTAGTATGTTGTCGGACAGACAGACATTTACGTCACTTTAGTATGTTGTCGGACAGACAGACATTTACGTCACTTTAGTATGCTGTAGAAACAAAACTTCAGGTAACTCTAGTTTGTTATAGGACAGAAATACATCCACATAGCTGTTGTTCGTTGTGAGAAAGACAGACATTGACGTCATACTGGTATGTTGTAAAGGCAGACAGATATTCTCATCACTATAGTATGTTGTAGGACAGACATTCACGTAACTTTGGAATGTTGTAGGAACGGACAGATAGCCATCTAACTTGTGTATATTGTAGAGACATACAGATATTTAGTTCACTCTTGTTGGTTGTAGGACAGACATGCATTAAATGCATGTAAATTGATACAGACGTTCAGGTCACTCTAAGACGAAGGGACGAAATGGTCTGACATCACAAGCTAGCGATAAAGCGTGTATATGACACCAGAAGTTGGCACGAAAGGGTCCGACATCACAAGCTAGCAATAAAGTGTGTGACACTAGAAGTTGGCACGAAAGGGTCTGACATCACAAGCTAGCAATAAAGTGTGTGACACTAGAAGTTGGCACGAAAGGTCTGACATCACAAGCTAGCGATAAAGAGTATGACACCAGAAGTTGGCACGAAAGGGTCCGACATCACAAGCTAGCAATAAAGAGTGTGGCACCAGAAGTTGGCACGAAAGGGTCTAACATCACAAGCTAGCCTTAAAGAGTATGACACCAGAAGTTGGCACGAAAGGGTCCGACATCACAAGCTAGCGATAAAGAGTGTGACACCAGAAGCTGGCACGAAAGTGTCCGACATCTCAAAGTTAACGAAAGCACATCCACAATTTCTTTACAATATCGGCATATGTACGATTAGAATTGAATTGGTACAGACAAGGACGTGCGCTATATCTACTTATGTTATATTCCACGTCCATATATAAATGTACGTATCTGGTTCAAATACACCAACACAATGCTCTATTCCTATAATGAGCATCAACACGTGTTTTCTTTTACTTTGTACAAAAGTATAAAGCAACAAGCATCGGGTAGCATTTGTAACAAATAGTCTTGAATGCGACATTAATTGAAAGTGTATGGAATAGATAATTTTGTAGTTTTCATGTTTTGTGCAAAACGGAGACTTTACAAAATAAATTAACAAACCAATTTATGAAAATTGCAGATAGAAAACTGTCCATTCAAGTCTCACAATGATTCAACATTTAAATGAACCATCTGAAATCTAAGTCCGTGCTCAGGCTTACGCATTTCATTTAGTAACACATTTCCCTTCAAATTTACCTTTATACAATTCCACGCCTGGGACAATGCTGTAATTTTGAAAAGCGGTAGACACATAATCTACACCAACCTAACGCTCTGGTTACCCATCACCCGTTTGTTCACAACCGTTTAATGTCATACACAGGTATAATAAAAATATATATAAATATCAATAACAACATAGTAAATGTGAACATTGACATTAAATTATCATTTTTGAAATATCAATCTTCAGTCTTGGTGTCCTCATAATGATAAACATTTTCAGTACGTTGATCTAATGCATCAGTTACCTCCCTTAGTAGAACTCTTCTATGTTTTAGCATTGCCACGTAATTTCAACCACCACCATTTTCCGCTGCAGGTTTGACACATGTTGAAACGGGAATTCTTCAATAACGCAGTCAATTCTTCACATATTTATGCGATTGGTATCTCACCCATTCCGCTGCATACGTTAGTTAGAAAGTTTTGAAAATGGATATGAAACTTGGCGTACTTACCCTGGTATTTGGTTTGATTTCCTACGTGTTCGGTGGAGAGTTGACATTTGAGCTGCCAGACAACGCTAAACAATGCTTTTACGAACATATCGACAAAGGTGTCGAGTCAACACTGGAGTTCCAGGTATGATTGGGATGATTCTTCACGCGCCTTTTATTCATATCGGTTTAATGCATGGAAATCGCTTATTGAAGGCATAAGCCGGTATTTAACTGACTGGGAGCCTGTTTAGTATTAACATTAACTCACCCACTCATTGCAGATGATTGTTGATCTTCAAATGTATACAAACTATTATTGATTCATTTTAGCGACAGACCTATTCATAAAGTTGTAGAAATGCATTCGCCATAGATTAGGTGAATTAAACAATCATTCCTGCAACATACCCAGAAATCTTAGGTTCATTTCAAAACTTAAAACTTTTCCTACCTTATGGTTTGCTATATTTAAGCCATTGTAGTGGGTTTTTTTCCCTTCTCCGCTTCGACTTAGAAATGCAATAGTATCGCCATTACCAGCTTTACTAATAACAGTCTGGTACTGCTCAGTAAACCTGACTAAACAGTATCAGACTGTTTCAGATAGTACTGGACAGTACGGGCTGTGCCAAGTTGTAATCACAACAGGCAGTAATGGCTGGCAGTGCAATTGAAAGGAAAGCACTCATAAGCACTGTTATCCATCATTTTTGTACCATTGTTTTGTTTTGTTTTTCACCGAAATGTCATTCTCCTTCAAATGATGTTTTTATGTAATACATGTGTACTTCTGGGTCTCTTTATGGTAAACTCGTGCAACTCTGTAATTTAGTGATGTCATCAGAAAGAGAAGTGCAACCACAGGTCCAATACTCGTCTGCCATTGCAGGTGAGCAAATTTGAGATCAAATCTGTGGATGTTTTTTAGGACCATATTGGTGTTTCGCTGGTTAGTATTTTGAATATTGGATAAATATTAATAGTAAGAATACATTTCAATTCATTTTAAACGTATTTGTTCGGTGACTGTTCACTGACATAACATAGCCAAAAAGATTTTAAAGGGGTCTGAAACAGATGTCCCATGTATGTCATTCTGTGTACTTGTATGTACATATGTATGGATTTCTTTTGTACTCTCCACTTTGAGTCCAGTCAGAAAAACATAGATTATTTAAGAAAGTAGTATTTTATTTTTGTTCAGTTCAAATTTCAGTGGAAATATTGCAGCATTTTTAGCTTTGGTAAATCTACAGGTCTGACCCAAAGCCATGTAGATTTAAATGCTTATTTTAGGGATGTACAGCAAATGAAAGGTACAATTACAAGTGAAATATTTCTGCACCTATCTCCCTGTTACAAAAAAGAATTATCATGCCAAGCCTTTTTCCTTCAGTGCTCTTGGCTTCAAACTGTGGAAAAAAAATTGAATCAGAAAAAAATAATGAAGCACTTAAGATATGCAAATATTTGACTGGCAGCAAATGGTACAGATTACCAAGATTTGTGGAATGTTTTGTGAAAAAAATTAAGGAATCAATGGGGCCCATAACCAACCCCAAATAGCTAAACCATATAATACCTGTCTGTTACATCACTGCAGACTGAGAATTTATTGAATGATAATTCAATGATTCCCCCAAATTGTTATTATGTCAATTACTTTTCATCAATCCCAGAGGGTCTGTTTCCCAGAACTCCCTGGTCACATGTCTCCTTCATGTGTTACATTTAGCATTCATTCGAGAGACATTGGTGGTGACAGGTGTACCATACACATTTTTTTACTTGTTGTAAAGTGTTAATCTTGTCAAAAGCATGACGATTAAGTTGTTAATGCAACTGGATCCCTTCTTATCTGTGCAACATGTTACAGGATATAAATGGTTTTGGTCATGTGTAGAGGCATGTCTTCTTTAGCAAGAGAGAAGATCACGATCACATGTTTACACATGATCTGATATTCTATCAAAATATTCATATTCACATACAGTAAATCTCTGTTGCATTGCCATCTGTTGTACTGTATAACTTGCATACTGCCATCAATTTGATCAGAACAGATTTCTCTACTCTTGAAATTGTAAAACAAAATTTGCATACTGCCATTTGCCACAACGCTTTGATAACAATGTTGCTTCATGTAACTGTGTTATAGTCGTCAACTTCACGACTGACAGAGTTCATGGATCAATTGTATGTGTTTGATTAATTTATACAAGAGGGATTTTTACTTCCAAACATTTCTGTTTCTATGCTATTTTCATTTGAATTTTCGTTGATTTTATCATTTAGTGTATAATTATCATACAATGATACAACAAGTAAATAAATATGTATGGTTATTATAATTTCAGTATAGTACATAATGTTTGTTGTAATGCTTTAGTCTGTGTGTATGTACAGATGATAAATGAAGTTGAGGAATTCCTGGAAAGGTGCTTCAGAATGAAACTCAGAATTTTGATCACAGAATACCAATTATTATTGCAATTGTAGAACGGGCAAGTGTCACTGTAAATTTAACTTTCCCTGCGCAATCATCCATAACAATGTAATACAAAGTTCAAACTTGACTGATCATTTCATGCTTTTAGGTGATAACTGGAGGTCAGTATGATGTTGATATGGAACTGACAGCGCCCAACAAACAGGTTCTGTACAAGGACGTAAAGAAACAGTATGATAGCTTCACGTGGACTCCAGACCAGAAAGGCATTTACCAGTTCTGCTTCAGCAATGAATTCTCCACATTTTCCCACAAAGTTGTATACTTTGACCTCCAGATTGGAGATGAAAAGCCTCTTTTCGATGCGGACTCTGGCAGTAAACATCACACTGCCATGACACTGGTAGGTTATTTTTTCTTACAGATTATAGATCGCCCATTTTGACAGCATGTTATATGTTATTAGATCATGACACAGCTCTGGCATGCTGGCATTCTAGCAGAAAAAACCCTGCAGCCAATGTGATTTTAGACTAAAACACTGAGTCCAGTGTAATACTAGACTAAAACACAATAGCTAGTGTGATTCCACTGTGGTCAGTGTGATTCTAGACTAAAACACTGTAACCAACGTGATTTCAAGACTAAAACATCCCTAACCAGTGTAATTCTCAAGTAACACACTGCGACTATTGAGGCCAGAAAAGCTACCATGATAGTATTGCAATAGCAAGTGACTATTTGTGATACTATCATGGCATTTTTTTTTATTTCAATGCAGAAATAAAGATCACTGACCTATTAAAAGAATGCTTAAGAAAGCAAATATTACAGTTGAAATAAAAAAAAAAAGATAAAAAAAATTTCATACATACAGGTATGTCGAACAGTGCAAAAGATTAAAAATTTCATACGTACAGGTATGTCGAACAGTGTAAAAGATAAAAAAATTTCATACATACAGGTATGTCGCACAGTGTAAAAGATTAAAAATTTCATAGGTACAGGTATGTCGCACAGTGTAAAAGATTAAAAATTTCATACATACAGGTATGTCATACAGTGTAAAAGATAAAAAATTTCATACATACAGGTATGTCGCACAGTGTAAAAGATTAAAAATTTCATACATACAGGTATGTCATACAGTGTAAAAGATAAAAAATTTCATACATACAGGTATGTCGCACAGTGTAAAAGATTAAAAATTTCATACATACAGGTATGTCATACAGTGTAAAAGATTAAAAATTTCATAGGTACAGGTATGTCGCACAGTGTAAAAGATTAAAAATTTCATACATACAGGTATGTCATACAGTGTAAAAGATAAAAAATTTCATACATACAGGTATGTCGCACAGTGTAAAAGATTAAAAATTTCATACATACAGGTATGTCATACAGTGTAAAAGATTAAAAATTTCATACATACAGGTATGTCGCACAGTGTTTAAGATTAAAAATTTCATACATACAGGTATGTCGCACAGTGTAAAAGATTAAAAATTTCATACATACAGGTATGTCGCACAGTGTTAAAGATTAAAAATTTCATACATACAGGTATGTCGCACAGTGTAAAAGATTAAAAATTTCATACATACAGGTATGTCGCACAGTGTTAAAGATTAAAAATTTCATACATACAGGTATGTCGCACAGTGTTAAAGATTAAAAATTTCATACATACAGGTATGTCGCACAGTGTAAAAGATTAAAAATTTCATTTAGTTTTATTCATTATAAACATTAACTTATTTTTCTGTTATAATTGTCGTTGAACATCTTGAGTCAAGACTGTACAATACCATTTTAAGCCTTAGTTTTACAGTTGTGGTAACACACAACACACCAAAAACTTACGGCAAACATCGATCACAGATTTATGCACATCATGGATACATCATGTGCACACATGCACAATACAATATTGTGCGCACAATATCGACATAATTCTTTGGTTTTGACTGTGAATTTGACAAGCTTTAGATATCATTGGCAGAGCCATGTCAATGATATATTTATTTTTTGGCCAGCTAAAGGTAGGATAATGTAGCAATGTTTCACAAATCAGAGTTTAATTAAGATTATTTTTGAGGCATTTTGTCATTAATTTTCATGTAACTGAAATGCTGTGGTACCCCTGTTTTTAGGTCATCGGACCGAAGGGTCTGATGACATATTGCAATCGCCTTTTGTCCAACGTCGTCCATCGTAAGCATTTTCAACTTCTTCTCAAGTTCATCATGTCTTGTATTTTGTGTCAGATGACCATGAAGGCCCCATGGGCCTCTTGTTTAACTTTTAAATGGGAACAGTTTTAAAAATGCCATCGCCTTCCACAATGTTGTTCATGGAATTGGGTCATTTCAAGGATGTGTCTAAAACCTAGACCTGGAGTTAAAGAAGTCTGTAACTCCATTGCTATACTTTGGAGATTTAATTAGATGATGGAAGCAAAAACTATATAATGCTTATTTAAGATATAAGCTCTCATTTATGTAACAACTTTTACTTATAAATTCTGTTTCCATTCTATGTAGGTGATTGTGCTCTTCTTTTAATTAGTGCTAACTCCATCTAGGTCCTAAAGAAGCTTTCTTAAATAAACACAAGGTTTGAAGTTGTTTGGCAATAACTCAATGAAATGTCCTGCTTTCAAGAAGCCTTTTTTTCAGTTAAAAATTTTGCAAACAGTTGAACAAATTATTGCAATAAAATTGACTTGAAAATATGCTATCAATCTATCACTATTGAGAGCAACGCTATTGTAATACATTAATAAGTGGACCTGCCATTAGTAATCTTAGACTAAAACACTGTTGTTAGTGTCAATCTATTCCAAAACATTCTAGCCAGTGTAATTTTAGACTCTTAAGGTAAGTTTTAAGCTCTTTGGAAGATTATGGATAAGGTTCAGTTTCTAAACAAATGATAGATATCCATTATCCAAAACAGAAAGTATGAAACAGAATGTATCTGAAGTAATGCTTGATTTCTGAGGTTTTTGAGGTTAAATACTTATCTGTATAACCTGTATGGTATGCTTACCAAAGATATGCCAGTTTGACTTTAATGTTGATTACAAAGCTTGGTGAGGTTTTTGGGCTATGGTAAGACTATAAATGACAAACACACACCTTTGCCAGAACACTGCCTGTTTGTTAGCTGTAGCATGAATAGTTGGATGGATGACGATATGTCCTCTAGATGACATTCAAACCACTGTAACCAATGCATGCTCCTGTCCTTCATCATATCTTTATCTATTTGTATCTTGTACTGCAGAAATTTCTGAATGTTCAGTCTGACTTTTCTTATGCTACCCCTCCCTCCCATTTATGCCACCCCTCTCTCCCACCACCCCTCCCTCCCATTTACGCCACCCCTCTTTCCCACCACCCCTCCCTCCCATTTACGCCACCCCTCTCTCCCACCACCCCTCCATCCCATTTACGCCACCCCTCCCTCCCACCCTCTCTCCCTCCCATTTATGCCACCCCTCCCTCCCATTTATGCCACCCCTCCCTCCCATTTACGCCACCCCCCCCTCCTGCCACCCCCCCTCCCATTTACACCCCCCCCCTCCCGCCACACCCCCTCCCATTTACGCCCCCCACCCCCCCCCCCTCCCATTTACGCCACACACCCCCCTCCCATTTATGCCACCCCCCCCCCCCCCGCCACCCCCCCCCCCCCCCTCCCATTTACATAGTAGCATCTATATTCTCAGACAGACTATGATCAAACCTGATACAAAGATCAAGTATGCATATATTTTGGACATTATTGTGTATAAAGGATGGTGGTGGTGGAAACATTTATTTCTTACTTACAGAAATATTTCTGTCTTCACTTGATTCTTTTCACAGTTTGGATATTGAAGAAAATCATTAAAATTAATATTGATATTATTCTAAGGCATCAAAGCCCATGTGTAATATAATGGGTATATGCCATTTGTAAAGTAAATCAAAAATTTAATGCAGATATGATGTCTTGTAAAAACAAAGAGCTCCAAATGTATGGTAATGTAACGTATGAAAGATGAGGGAATTATTTTTCCTTTGGCTGTCCAGACTGCTTCCCCTTGTGATCTCTGTAACACTCCTCACTATACATACAAGCATCTTAATCCATAGAGGTGGTACAGGCTAAAAATTACGTTATTCACTTTTCGTAAAAAATCTTTAGGTTGTGACTTTTCCGGCCAATTTAGGAGTTATGTCAAAATTTGTATTTGATGTAGTCTCCTTTGATTATTAATTCACCTGTTTGTAACCTTCACTTGTTAACTCAAAATTTTCTGGTTTGATGGATCAGATTTACCATAGAATGTATAGCAAATAATGTAAATAAATCAGGATTATCTCAGTCCTCCAAGATGAATATTCAAAAAGTGATAAATGTAAATATGGAAGTGTTTTATATATACAGGCATTATGAATGCCAACTGGATATGTGAACAGACAAATTGTAGGGTTTAAACCTTGTCTAGTTAGCTTTGATATTCCCCATACATGTAAATTGAAAGTAGTTCAGCAGGGTTTTCCATAAGAGCCGGTACCGGCCAATTTAAGCGGCTACTTTGATCATTTGGCCACCTACACCAATCCAGTTCCGTAATAATGTTCCGTACATGAATACATGTACGGGGCAGGCCAGCCTCCTACTTACACTACACAACCTACTACTAACAAAATTATGGAAAACCCTGGTTCAATGTTCGAATAAATAATTGTTGTACATGGTGAATTGCGCTCGTGCTGTCATGATCCTGTCATCCCAGTTGCATGTTTAACAGTAGGGTTGGTGTTGTGGTAGAGTTTTTGTGATAATTTCTTGCTTTTCAATAAGGAACAAAAAAAACCAGCATATCTTTGCCAAGCATAACATGTATTTACAATAAGAACAACTAAAAATGATTCAAAAACAAAGTGGGACATGGATTTCTTATCATTTCATTTTAGATGGAAACATCATCAGTAAGTGTCCACGAAAACCTGAAGGTGGTCCTGGACTTCCAAACGCATCACCGCCTGCGGGAGGCTCAGGGTCGCGTCTACGCCGAGGACTTAAATGAGAGAGTATTCTATTGGTCAATAGGCGAATCTCTGATTGTGCTGATCATTGGGATAGGACAGGTTCTCGTGTTGAGGAGTTTCTTCACAGATACACGACATTCCTCTAAGCCCTGAGAACTGTGAGACTATCAACACTTGTTTTACTCTATGAACACTATAAGCTAGGAACTGGTATAGAATTGCTTCACAGGAATTTTTTTTTTTTCACTGATACTGTAATATTATCAGATGTCTTTTAAAATAAGACCTATCCCTCATTGGATGTATTCAGAGCTTGGTGAGATATATCATAGTTATAAATTAAATCAGAATGGAA